AGTTGAATAAATCTCCCTTAAGATTTAAAATGTAAAATCTTTTTAAACTTTTTCATTTTTATTCTTTAGGAATGAGACAGATTTCTGAGCAGGTTTTAGAAACTAGTTTAAATCTAAATAATGTGATAAAGTTCATGAATTAAACCAGAACCCTGAGGAACAGAAACTTCAAAGACCTGAAACATTTCAGTAACTTTTATCAACATCAGTCTGAAAAGTTATACAATTATAAAACAAGAAAAGGCAGAAAATATTTGAACTACAAATCATGTTTTACTGCTTTAAAGCTTTATTTTCAGTTGAATGATTGTAAATGAAAGTGAAAGTTCATCCTCTGTCAGTGAAGCATCACCTGTCTCCTCCTCCCTCTCTGTTTCACAGGAAGCACCTGCAGACCTCCCCAACATTTTCTACCTTCATGCAAATGAAATATTAAACGTTCAGCTCTCTGTAGAACCTGAAACATTTTGATCTTTTCATTATTTTGTAAATCAGTACAGATATAGAGTTTTATAAATCTGCAGTTCAATCCCTGCAACAAATCCATGTTTTTAAAAGTGACTATAAAATAATAATAAAATAAAGATTTTTATCAGTGTTTAACCTAAAGTGAATCAATTTTTTTAATTTTATCTGTGTTTGTTTCATTTGCTCTTGTTGTATTTTTTAGTTTTAATGGAGTTTAAATCATTTTTCACTTAAATGTTTGAGATGCTTGAATATTTGTATAAATTGAATCTTGCAGCCTCTTATTGCTGAATTGACACTTTAAATCTCCACGTGTCTCAGACAGCTCTCTCTGACTCATTATTTGCATCTTAGAAGAAAAAGGAAAAGAGCAGAGCTGCAGGTGTTTCCTGTAAAAGAGGAGAGAAGTGATGCTTCACTGATTGTTTCATATTTATATTTATCTCACAAGCTGAAAACTGAATAGGACAGTTTTTCTTTTAATCATTTTTATTAGGAATTTCACGTTAACTTATACTGATTATATCATGTTTCTGATTTAGTTTTTTTACTAAGAGGAGAATAAAACAATTGTAAGGTAAATACAAACGTTGCTGTATTACCTTTTGTTAAATGAACAAACACAAAACAGTCAAAATGTTGCTTTTGTCATAAAGTTTATTCCTTATTGTTCAGAAAATAAAGATGAATATGAGACAATTTTCAAACAAGCAGCATTTTTACATTGAAATGTAACAAACAAGAGCTAATATTTTGATTCAAGATTTTCTACTTTTTATTTGGTTTATCAAAACAGAAGCAAATGCAAAGATGAAAAAACAACAAAGGTTTACAAAAAGTGTAAAGTGTAAAAAGCAAAGAGCAGAAAGGGAAAAGCCTCAGATGCTGTCAGCTCCTCTGTTATTCTTCAGCACATCCTGACTTATTGATGGTTTTCTCC